ACACACAAGCTGGCCGATGAACTGTTCTCTGGCTCTCACACTCACTAGTCCTCGGCCTCCTTCCTTACAGCTAGTGTACAGTCTCTGGGTGCTGGGCTTGAGATGGAACCCTCCATGCATGGTTAGGAGATTCTGTGTCTTAACATCTGTGGTCGGTATTTCTTCCTTTGTCCAGTTTTCTATTCCTGCAGGATATCTGATTACTGGCTTGGTGTAGCTTTTTATTGCCCAGATTTTGTTCTTGCCATTGAGCTGACTTCTTAGGACTTGCCTTACTCGTTGTAGGTATTTGGCAGTGGATCCTTTCCTTGCGGCTTCATCAAAGTTGCCATTTGCTTGTGGGATACCAAGGTACTTGTAGGTGTCCTCAGTGTCTGCTATTGCTCCTTCTGGGAACAATAATCCCTTCTGTGTGGACTACCATCTGTAGCGTCATGAAGGGACTGTTTTCCACCTAAAGGTCATCTCTCTCCTCATGAAGAACTAATCTCCTTGAGATATGCTCGAGGCCTTTGATGCCTCTGCATCTAAACTGTTTTAACTAGCTATTTGCCTCCTCCTACAGCTCAAGAGAAGATCAGAAGAACTCTGTTAAATAATAATCAAATAACTTTGTTAGTCCAAATAATCATGTGAAGTTCAATGTTCAATCAATCTGTGAAATGAGAATATTAATTACTTGATATTATAATCCTATGTTAGTATTTTAATAAGTAATATAACTTTAAACTACACACTAAACTGACCACACGTAATGTTAAAATCACATGACGCATTCCTTTGTCTCTCCAATCAGAGCTTTCCTTTCTCCTTTCTGACGCGTGACGTGATCTGTGCGGTGTTTATTTTAGTTGTCAAATTCTGATTTGACCATAAATCAAAACATCTGAATTATAAAACTAACTCCCACATCACCCTTAACTCAGTTCAAACGTTCTAGAGTTGTAAGCCGGCCACTCGTAACTTTTGAACCACAAAGAACCTTGACAAGCTGGAAAATAAAACCTGTTGCAAGCTACACCTGACGCAACACTCCTTCAGAGTAAAAGCTGAACTCACTGACCCTTCCGGGTCCCACTGACGCTGTCAAACAACTGTCGTTTACCTGGAGGCAATCTCAAGACTAGTCTGTCGTACCATATGCTGTTTCACCAGCTCCGGTACCAAAGGGGGGTCCGAGGACCTGGCATTCTGGAAATACAACTGAGGTCTCTGCAAGGGTATGTAGAACGGCAAGATCTGAATGTGGTTTTTGAAACTCCGACTGTAGTTTAGAGCAAAAACATTTGCTCCCACACAGAACTAATGCTTCTCTGGAAATGAGAGTTCTGATAACAACATTCCTTACACCATCCATCTAGCCTCGTTCACATCTAGATCCATTCATCACACAGTGTTTAGTTAGAGTTAGCCTTATTTTAAATTGTTTAGAAATAAATCTTCTTAAACTTTAAAACTTGTCTCTCTCTCTCTTTTGACTCTGGGTTAATACGAAGTGTTACCTAATCCCTGCAATAAAAAGTTCCGATCTTCTGTTTAAAGTGATATTCAAAGATACATCAAATTGATTTCATATTTTCTATGGAATCTCACCTTTGATGGTTTCTTACATAAAATGTAACTATTGAACCACTACACTTCCTTTTCTTTGTAAACATCCGACCATACTTCTCAAATTCGAATGACATTCCGATGCCAGCGCTGTTGATCCTGGTGGTGTTGATCATTGAGTCGATGTCTCACTCACTCTTGGCGTACAGCATTATATCATCCATGTAGAGGAGGTGGTTCTCTCTGGTTACATTCTTATGTTGGTAACATTGACATATATACTGGACAATTCCTGTTCTTAGGCTCGAATTATAAGGTTTTGTTTCCAAATGGGAGGTTCCCACAACTGCCATTTTGGCTGTGCCACATGTCTCATCACACCCAGACATTTCAAAAATGGGAAAAGAGGTGGAGCTGAGGGTTGGGCTGTTACGGTTGGAACAAATGAACCAATGTATCTCCTAACTTTGGAGCAAGGGGTTCCGTGGACTGGAGTAGCCCCTTGGTCAGCAAACATCCAGGCTTGTTGATTCTTTGGCTGAGGGGGTTCATGCCTATGCAGAACAGCAGTAGACACAGGGCATCTCCTTGCTACAGCAGGATGCGAAGGTTTGAGGAGCCTTGTTAACCTTCACGAGTTTCCTGTATAAATCGTTGGTTGTTGCTATAAAAAATTTAAGTAAATATATCATATAGGAGACACACAGTGATATGTCAGAAGTGAAACAAAGTTTACAGGATTTACCGAAAGTGTGCAATAACTGTTTAAATACAATCAGGCAGATGCAGAAATGTGTGCGCCACCAAAAATAAATGGACTCTACATCTAGTAGCTCCTACTTTTGCAGAAATAACAGCCTCTAAACACTTCCTATAACTTCCCGTGGGAGTCTGGATTCTGGCTGAAGGATTTCTGGACCATTCTTCTTCTTCATCTTTAGTTCATTCAGGTCTGATGGTTTCTGAGCATGGACAACTCTCTTTAACTCACACCACAGATTTTCAGGTCTGGGATTGAGATGGCCATTTCAGAATGTTCAACTTGTTCCTTTGCATGAATGGCTTAGTAGATTCTGAGCAGTGCTTATGGTTGTTGTCTTGTTGAAAGATCCAGCCCCGGTGTAGCTTCAGCTTTGTCACTGATTCCTGGACATTGATCTCCAGAATCTGCTGATATTGAGTGGAATCCATGTGTCCCTCAACTTTAACAAGATTCCCAGTCCCTGCACTGACCACACAGCTCCAGATCATGATGGAACCACCACCATGTTTTACTGTAGGTAGCAGCTGTGTTCTTTTGCCTCCATGCATAATGCTCCTTGTATGCCCAAATTTTGTTTCATCAGTCCACAGCACCTTATTCCAGAATGAAGCTGGCTTGTCCAAACATGCTTTAACAAACCTTAAGCTGCTCTGTTTGTGCTGTGGAGAGACAAGGCTTCCTCTGCATCGCTCTCACATGCAGCATCTCCTTGTGTAAAGTGCACTGAATAGTTGAACGATGCACAGTGACTCCATCTGCAGCAAGATCCTGTTGTAGGTCTTTGGTGCTGGTCAGTGGGTTGACTCTGTTCTCACCATTCTTTGATTCTGTTTATCAAATATTTTTCTTGGTCTACTACTTCAGGCCTTAACTTGAACTGTGCCTGTGGTCTTCCATTTCCTCCAAATGTTCCTAACCGTGGAAACAGACAGCTGAAATCTCTGAGACAGCTTTCTGTCTCCTTCCTCTAAAACATGATGATAAACCATCTTTGTTTTTAGGTCATTGAGAGTTGTTTTGAAACCCTCATGTTGCTATTTGTCAGTGAATAATTAAAGAGGAGGAAAACTTACAATTCCCCCCTTAAATACTCTCTCATAGTTGTATTTACCTGTGTATAGAGGTCAAGGGTCACTGAGCTTACCAAACCTATTCTGAGTTCTAATAACAACCTCAATCGTTCCAGCAATATCTTTCGTAAATTCAACATCAATTTCCACTGCTACGCCAACGACACCCAGCTCTATTTCTCTACCAAACCCAACAGTCCGCTCCCTATTTTCTCTCTTCTCAGTTGTCTCTCTGAAGTTAAATCCTGGTTCTCTTCCAACTTCCTTCAGCTTAACAGTGACAAGTCAGAAATCCTCCTCACCGGCACCAAGTCCTCCCTCTCCAAGATCAGTTCATTCTCACTTAGCTTCGATAACACCACAATTTCCCCTACCATTAAAGCCAAGAGCTTGGGTGTCATTTTGGATAACACCTTATCTTTCATACCTCACAAAAATAGTACAAAACTGCTTACTTCCATCTCCGCATTATTAATTGACTCCGCCCCTCCCTCAGCCAACACTCTGCTGCTATTTTGATTTACAGTCTTGTCACCAGCTGCATTGACTACTGTAATGCCCTCCTCTCCGGTCTCCCCCTAAAGTCACTCAATAAACTTCAGCTGGTCCAGAATTCCGCCGCCCGTATAATCACCAAGACCTCCATCTACGATCACATTTCTCCTGCTTTGCACCATCTTCACTGGCTCCCTGTTAAATACCGAACTGACTTAAAAATTCTTCTGTACACTTTCATGCCATCCACAATCTCGCTCCTCCATATATTTCTAATCTCATCCATGTTGTCACTCCCGCTCGCTCTCTTCGTTCATCATCCTCCGTTTCCTTATCTGTTTCCTGTATTCGCCTCAGTAACACTGGAGCCAGAGCCTTCAGTTACTCAGCCCCTAAACTCTGGAACATTCTCCCGTCTGACATCCGCAATATCAACTCATTCTCAACCTTTAAGTCCCAACTCAAAACTCATATGTTCCGCTTGGGTTATCCACCATAACTATAATCCTTCTTCTACCCTTCTCTAGCCTAGCAACCGAAATCCTCCATTCCTACATTTTTATCTAGTCTTAGCTCCTTTTTTAATATTGATTATTTTATGTTTTTATTTGTATTGATGTTTTCTTTTCTTGTATTACCTGCACTTGTAAAGTGACCTTGAGAGTCTTGAAAGGTGCTTGACATAAAATTTATTATTATTATTATTATTATTATTATTATTATTATTATTATTATTAATTAGTTATAAAGGTTTTGGAATCAATAAAATGACAACAGTGCCCAAATGTATGCACCTGCCTAATTTTGTTTAAACAATTATTGTTCACTTTCTGTAAATCTTATAAACTTCGTTTCACTTCTCAAATATTACTGTGTGTGTCTCATGTATGATATATTTAAATGATTTTTTTGTTGTAACAACCAATGATTTATACAGCTAAATCATGAATATTAACAAAGTTCTCCAAAGTTTAGCATCCCACTGTGTGTGTAAGTACACACACACACACACACACACACACACACACACACACACACACACACACACACACACACACACACACACACACACACACACACACACACACACACACACATTTAGCTGGCCTACGGGGATAGGACTCCGCTGCATCATCCGGCTTGTCTGCGCACCGAGCTGCGGAGAGTAAACGGTTAACCGCAGATGAAGAACTGCGCGCCTCTGAGCATGTGCCGCCGGTGCTGCTGCTGCTGCTGCTGCAGTGAAGTAAAAATGTGCGAAATTCCGTAGAAGACCAAATCCACGGTGGAGGAGATCCCCGTGGGCCGGACACCGAACCATCCAGGACAGCCTCATCGGGGGATGTCTGATCGGCCGGCCTGTGAGGAGACAACGCACAGCTCCGGGTGTAGGTAATACATGTGAATGATGGATCTGCTGTACTCCACTGATCCGTACTACAGTCAACATGTTTATTTAGAGAGCCCACGCGACTGTTAACACGTTTTACCAATTTCTGTCTTTCTTTCCTTATTTCTTTTTTTCAATGAAATTTGTTCCTCATGAATGTGTGTGTAACTTTCAACGTTAATTAGAAGCTCGCTTGTTTTTTAAATTCACTGTAAATTATGTAAAACGAGCGCGTGTTGTGAAAAGAAACGTTTCACCTGCCAATGTTTCGTCTTGTTTACCTTTTCAATAACACGTGAAATACTCAAATGCTCAGGGGTTAGAAATGCATGCTCCTAATTCTGACACATGAAGGATATCCTTGCCGCACTGGTGCAGCGGAGTCCCAGCATCCGGGCCTGCTCTGCACACTTGCCCCTTAATCCTGGGACGGAGCGGGACACCATTCAGCTTCGTCTGCATGCCAGGAACTTGTTGCAGTTGCAAGAGTTGTGTCCGAGTGTATAGTTTTTTAAGGCATTATCGATGCGTCCCTCATAAACCCTGCAGTTTATTATCATCCGAGGTGAGATAATCTCTGTGGCTTCTGCAGCCTTTTCCCCTCAGCCTATTTATAACCCACTACAGCCTCCACAAGGAATCCCAAACTGACCTCACAGCATAACATTTATACTTTAGAAAATAATCAAAATATTTTAGGTAAGTCAAACTTTGTAGAATTAAATCTAAACATAATACCTAAATATAATGTTTTTCAACTAAATTCACATGTGGGTTTAAAATGACCAGATTTATGATTAAATATTTTGTTTTTGCTTTTTTACACTGAGCAGATTTGGTCTGGAAGCCAGAGTAGCTGAAGAAAAAATGTAATTAGAACATTTTGATGTTAATTTTTTAATATATTTAGATTTTATCCTAAATATTTGGTCTAATTTTTATGCATTTGGGTTTAATTGTAAGTATTATGAGTTACCTTTCTACATTTAGATAAAACTACATTGAGTCTGATTATTAGATTAAACTTTATATATTCAGAGCTATTTTTTAAAGTATTTAACTTGATCATTTTAATTTGAAGCTAAAGTGGTGAAATACAGCTGTTAGTCTTTATAATGTTCTACTTTACAATCTGCTATCTACCGGTATATAAGAGTTAGGTAACTGTAGTAAAAACGGTAGCCTAGACAGACAGTAGAAGCAAATGATTTTGCTCTGCAGGTTGGTCTAGCCACGCTTCAGTGGAACCTCCGCAGCCCTGGCCAGTCTGGTGGGCCAATCACAGCACTGGTGGTGGGCTGGCTGTGTTTCTCAATGCCAGGGAACCTTTCCTTGATGTCTTGACCCCACCCCGGTTGCCTAGGAGATACGTCATTGGGAGCCGCCAAGACGTGCTCCAATGTTCATGTTCTACCAAGGCGTGTGTTCTCCGTTTGTTAGCCGTTTAGCTAGCTGAGCGAGGATACACGGGAGATGTCTTGTAGCCTAGCCTTGGTCAAAAATTACCCACAATACACCGCAGTATTTTTCAAAAGGATGGCGGATCAGAAGCCGGCAGCTACTTCGGGGATATTTTTCAAGTTTAAAAGTCAGTCAACTAATTTAAAATGTTTTTTTTTAGATCCAAAGAAGTTTTCTATGGTTGGTTAGTTGCTTAGTAGTTACAGCTTCGGTCGCTAGCGGTAGTAACTCACTTACATATTTAGTTTAACAAATATATACACAATTTAAAAAGTAAAAGGCTCGTTATATATTTATATTGAAACTAATACGTATAAAATACAACGTTGTCTCCCGTGTCACGTGATGTTACGTGACCGCCGTGGAAGCCGCGGTCACGTGATGCAAGTCTGTTCCATTTAATCGTGTTCTTTGACCAAGGAAGGGCAGTGTCCTCGTAAGCAAGGCGCCTGGCCTCGCAAAACATCGCCTCGCAAGGCCAGGCACCTTGACATTGAGAAACACCCTGTGACTGAGCAAAACAAAGATGGCGACAGCTCATTAGAAATGGCTTTGGCATCAACTTTGGACAACCGTACTGTCCTGAATATAAGACGACCCCACTTTCCAAGGCCAATCTTCAGGAAAAGAAAAAAAATTACTTTTTAAGTGAACAATTTTTGTTTACTGAGCTAAAATACTATTTTAATGCAAACTATCAGAACTTTGCTGACAGGTGAAATCAAAAGTCAAATTGGGCTTTAATTCAAAGGCGCCCTCTGCCTCGCTGTACTCACTCACACTCATGCTGCTGTGGTCCCGGTGTACCATCAGATCGCTACACCTGCCGCCTCCTCCCAGAATGTCATCCTCACTGCCTTCCAATACATCCATGCATGCAATGCTTGACCCTCTGAATTCACCACCATCATCTTAAAATTAGCATAGCTCTGCCTTAATAGCTTGTTCACTTGCCCCACCTTTGGTCCACTCTGCTCCGGAGGTCTCGTCTCCATATTTTTGTCCTGTTGAGAACACACAGCCTGGCGCCCTCTGCTGTTACGGGCGTGTAATGACAAATAGCATGTGTGAACACTTCGACCCCAATTATAAAACAACCCCGCATTTTAAAATAATTTTCTATGAAAAAAATCCTGGTCCTATATTTGGGTTAATACGGTATTTAGACTTGTGATTTTCTTAAAGTCAAAGGCAGGTAGATACTTACATTTATTTAGAAAAACAACGTATTTTTGTGTTCTTCGACAGTGTATGGGGTACTGCCCAGCTGACTCACATCTGCAATGGTGCGTACATCACATCATTTGCTGTCTGATAGCAAGTGGACTCAGTTTGAAAGACAACTGTAGATTCTGCCCGACGACCTGTCCGTGGGTCATGGCCAGACTATATATTCGAATATATAGGAAGGCTTACCAGGCTAGTGAAAATGTTTTAGAACTAAATTTGTTATGTCATAAACAGAAAATAAATCATATATCTAAGTTATGCGTTTGGATATTTGGTAACCATATTTTGACTGCGTCCTCTGAACCCAGCCTGTAGATAGACATGGCTGTTTGAGAAAGACCAATAATCTACAGGGTAGAACTGTGGAGAGAGGTTTGAAGATAACGTATAATGCAAAACTCACCTTTGGCATCCTTTTGTGCTGCCATGTGGGTCTCTACTGCCTCTATAAACATCCCAAACATGAAAAAAAAGCCTATCCATTTGTTCTCTGTCAGTGTTCAGTTAAATTGGTAGTAAATTATGAGCCTAAAACAAGCTGTTTCAAAAAGTCCCCATTTGTGACATCACAAATGGGAAATTTAGAATCAAACCACTTGAGAGGGCAGCTGCTGGAGGGGCAGCAGCTCTAGTCTGAGCTCCTGTCATATATCAGAGATTCTCAGTTTATGGCAGTCTGAGTGGATGTGGCCAGCTCCAGCTTGTTTTCTTAAAGTGACAAAGCCCTGACACGGCTCATTCTGGAAAGTACTGAAACTATCAAGGATAAAACTGCTGAAATTGTTCTATGTAAGAGAGTTAGTGAAAAGAACTTCATAAACATGTTTTGTATTGACCATATAATTATTATAACTCACCTCTGTCAGTGTGCCCCAGGGCAGCTGTGGCTACATCGTAGCTCATCACCATCAGTGTGTGAATGGATGAATGATACACTGTAGTGTAAAGCGCTTTGGAGTCCTTACTCTGAGAGGCGCTATACAAGTGCGGGTCATTTATCATTTAAAAAAAAATCTAAATATGTCCCCTTTAAAAACTGTGCTGGCATTAACAATCTCCCAGAAAGTTTGTTTCTTCAGCTGCATATTTTATTCATGTATTCGTCAAACATTTAAGAATATTTTTATCCATCTCCTCCATAAACTTTTGCATAACAACCATCATTAAATATGTATAGTCAACCTTACTGTTCTTATTAATGATGATATACTCAGGTGAATCCCTCCTTTGGAAACTTCTCTCTCTGCGTCACAGATGCCATCATGACTGTGTCAGTAAATATTTTTTTTCTGCAGCTGCAACAAGACTTCTAATTTACTTGGCATGAGCACCATGCTGTTCAGGATCCAGGGCTTAGCCATGATTTCTTAGGCTAAGGAGCTCAAGATCTGCAAAAGGAGGGCTCACCGAGTGGAGAGGAGTGGGCTGTGAGCATAAATATTAGTCATAAGAAGGTGGACAGTTGGTCAACTTACACAGAAGCTGCATCTTACAGAGAAAACAAAGTAACTGTGGATATTCTAAGCTAGAGGTTTGTAGTGGATTCAACTGGTGGAATTTTGCCTTCGGAAGTCAGGCTTTGCTTCAAACGTTCATAGGCTGGTAGGTGACAGTATAGGGAAAGATAGACTAATCATAGCTTTGTCTGTGGTAAGGCCCTGGTGGAGAAAACATGGAGCTGAAAGGCAAAGGTGTGATCCGTGTACAAGTTTCAGCTGCCTATCATGATATCCTGGATACAAGCTGAAACAAGCTTCCTCAAAGCAGCTCCAGCCGCTGTCCCTCCTCTAGAGGAGTCTGCTGAGGTGGTTCAGGGCTCTCTGGTTTCTCACGTTTTTGACACTTTGGGGCAAACGAAGAACTCTGCGAGCCCGTCGGAGAGCTCTTGCGCTGACGCATAATGGCGTTGCGTGTCTCCGTACTGACGCAGATGGAATAGTATAAATTAGGCTTAAGCGGGGTCAGGAAAGGTCAGGTCTGGGTCAGAATATTCCCTTCAAAATGAAAACGAATTGAAAATAATTCTGTTAAATAAAATAATAAAACTGTTAAACTGTTCTTACTCCTTTTGGGTTTCTATCACAGTGAATATTTTATGAAAAAAGATCAGTAGATGATGTCTAAGGCCAGGGACACACCGGCCGCCGAAGCGCCGGGAGGCGAAGCGCTCACGAAATTTGACCGCTGCTCGCTGCTCCTCAGTTCAGACCAGATGCTTGTTTCTCCGCTCCGGTCGAGGCGCGCCTCGTGGTTTTTCTTTTAACCATTTGGTGTCCTCCATTTCCTCTCTGCCTTTTCTCTGCTCTTTTCC